GGAGCTTTTAACAAGTCATTAAAACAGCAGCCTATCTGTTTTAGGCAGATGGAGTACCAGCTTGAGTGGTGGTGTTGGATTTCACTGGTATGACTTATACCAATAAATCATAAAAACACTTATCCTAGTCAGTGCTATCATGTCAGATTTTGTCAGAGCAGAAAGAAGATAAGAAACACTCTTAGTTTGAAAGCTTTGCTCATTAGACTTTTTTTAATGTTAGGTGTAGAAATAATCCAGCATTTCATTTTTTTAAAAGGTAGTGTGGAAAGTATAGTTGGCTTGATTAGGTTCAGAGAAATAAAGTACATGTTACCTCCCCAGCCATACACCGGTTGGGCAGGTTCACAAGCATGACAAGCAACAGTGGCAGAGGGGGGCTTCTTACCTTGCTTGCTTTGTCTGAACCTGTCATTGTATTTTAGTATGACACATATGGTTTTGAGAAACCACAAACAGAAACAACCGTCTGTTCAATGGTTTCTCACAATTGCGTGTTGTGTCATAAAAACCAGCAAACAGAGCTTGTCATGGCACTGAGTCCAAAACCATAGAGCTGCTTGGCAAGAGTGGTGCATTGCCACTCTTGCCAGGTGACGACTAACCAGAGAGCACCACTGACGACTGCCATTTGCAAGTGTTGGAGGGGTCCCCACTTCTCCTGCCTCCTGCCCTAAAGTGGCAATGCCAGGAGAGGGCAGTACTGCTCAGTTGATTCCCTCTGCCTTCTTGCATGCACCAGAGCAAAGTGCCCCATGTTCTGTTCTAGGAGCCTGAGAAGTGTTTGCTGATTGGGATGAGACAAAAGCCATCCTTGTGCAAAGGAAAGGGCAGAAGCCTGTCAGTGTAGCTTTCCCTGTTTCCTTCTCTGACAGGGCGAATGCCTACTCTCCTTAATGTATGTCTTTAGGAGTATGCCATTGAGGTGGGCAAAAGTGGCCATAATGAGGTTAGACAGAAGTATTTGCAGAATTTATCTGCTGTTCCATAAGTGTAACTAGGGAAAGGTACAGAAGTTAGAAGCCGTCTGCATTTCTTTTCTTCAGTTTTGGGTCTGAGGAGCCCCTGGGTTGAACAGAAGGCATTTGTGCTCATAATTCAGGGGAGATGTTAATTTCTAATGGTTTCCCCTGGCTGCAGCTCCTGCTTCTTCATCACAAGGATTTCTTGGAGAGTCTCCAACCCTTGTGGAGTAAAATGTTGAGATGGTAGGAGGGACTGCAGCAAGAAGTATCAAGGAAAGCCCCTTGTGAATCTCCCAGAGAGCTTTTTTGGCTAATGGGTGGAATAGAAAATAAATAAATTGCATGAGTGAAACAGTGCCTGCTCTTTTAAGACTCCAAACCAGAGTGTTTAACCTCTTGTAGTCAGCGACCAGTGGATGGGGAAGCAAGTGGAAGCAAATGTTTACCTTGTCCAGCAATTTTACACTTGGAGCCTCAAAGTGTTATGCTTTGTTGACATAAGAGTGCTGGCTTAGACACACAGATCAACCCATTGTAGGCTTTCTAGTTGGAGATGACAGCCACCACTTGTGCGCACTTTATTTTTTGCCGAATTCATTAAATAAAAATGGGCCTATGCTGAATACTGTATAATAAGTTTTGCCAAGAAAAGCATCATTAACATTCAGCAACTGAATCTAACTTGACTTCTTGCCCCAAAGCAGTATGAGGAAAGCTAATTGGCTATTGTGAAGGAAGATTCTTGCTTTTAGTCAGATGAATAATCAAAGCACAGGGTAAACAGAGGAGACCTTTCTCTGCTAAACAAATGTCTATATTTGTGCCTGGACAGCAATACACTTTTTTCAAAAAAGAGGCACATAACTTTGCAAGTGTGTTATTATGGAAGATTTGCCAGCCTGCAATGCCAACAAGGGGAGAAGGAGTCCTTCTGTGGAACAGTTTTTTAAAATTACAAGTGGGCTTTCCAAATGGTCACAGATGCGCCGCGATGCTTTTCTTGTGTGACTTGCAAATTAGGATCCATAACCCAGAGTTAAAAACAACAATCTAAAAACAAATGATGTCATGTGTAAAGTTATTATTACCAACACTTCCTATTTTAATATCATCATTAAAATATCATTTAATATCATTAAGTGGCCATTTCAGTTTAATGTGACAGATAACAAACGCTGCATTTAACGAGTCTCCAAACATGCAGTCTGCATAAACAAACGAACAAATAAATGGTGAAGATCTTATGAGTTGGATGCAGCCTTTAGTCATGCTCAGAGCAGACTTATGAATATCGGTCCCAATGATTTCAGTTTGGTCCAAGTGTGGTGATGTCTGGATCCAGTTTACAGTACTTGAAATGCCCTTCCTCCAGGCTTGATAAATGGCTTGGTGACAACTAAGCTTCCAAGCAGCAGCTTGTTGTAACAATTAAGTAGCTAGTAATTTGGGAGGATTCCTCCTTTTGTGTTGATAAACAGACCCTTTGTGGAAAGTTGTTCTAAAAGTCTGCAAGTTTGAAAATGCAAATGGATCATGAAAAGGGAATCTGGGGGTATGGTAAAATGCAACTTAGATGCAGTTGTATGGTTACGCTATAAAGCAGAATTGTAAACATGTGAGTAATGTTCCAGAGTCCAAGTACATAACCCAATTCACAGAATGCGCTAGAGCTTTCTCTTACCCTGCAGATGGAGGCAGTGTGTGTCCATTCTAAGCTTATCTATCTTCAATTCCTCTAACCAGAGGTTTAATAATCTCTCTCCAATATCTGAAGAGATATTTCCAGCCTATGGATTTTTTTATTGATGGGTTCTCTGTTGTTAGCCGGTCAGAGAACAAGTCTGACAAGGAGCGATCTAGCCATCTTCACTGTGGAAGTTTTTTTGATCCCGTAGGCACTGCTGCAGGGAAAGTGAGGATTGATCAAAGGGTCAAGATGCAACAGAACCGAGGCATTAGATGTGGAAAATGTGGAGTTGCTGTAGCAACATCACTGACCTCCATGGCTCTTAAAACACAGTTGTTCACTGAGAGCCCTTGCACAGTTTGAAATATTAGTTCACTACATCCTACAGATTAAGCATATGTTTAATCTATCCAGCGCTGCGGTTTATTTTTTCTCTGAGCAAGCCTATTTGTCTGCTTCTAAAGTACCCCTACCAATTTAACCATACATTTTCTTTACAGTTTTTGTTGTGCTGTAAATTGAAGTGGGTTGTGTTTGATCCAAATTACTGGGTACTTGAACTTCAGAGAAAACAGACTGTAAATATTCCTGACTCTTGAGCTCTGAATGTTTTCTGCCACTTGAAAAATTGAAGAAAAGTCCAATGTGTAGTAGCCTAAAAGGAACTGGGGCCAATGAACATATGGAGCTCATGTGGGTTCTGGAAAGCCATGTCAAAAGGGCTAAAAAATTAAAACAGGTTCCTCTTTTGCCCTCTGTATCCATTTATAAGTCCCTGGCATTGAGAGAATGTGACAGATCACAGTGAGTGACATCTTCTAATCAAATATTATGCAAACCAAACTAGCCTTCAAACAGAACCTCACACTTGGATGTGGCAAAGGCAGTGGCTGCTGTCAGTGACCTTTGGTAGAGTTGTGAGGAGGGGGAGATGCAGAGTTAATGCTTCAAGTTGCTGTTATTGACTGCATCTGATAACAGCATGCTTGTTCGTCTTTTTATTCTACAACACATATATTGCTTTATAAGCGAAGGATATGATGCTTCAAACATTAGTACTGCATAGTTTTTATTAATTTGCACTGCATGTATTTGACATTTGGCTTACACGTGAGTGAATTAAATGAGGTTCTCTCCATGGAAGTACCTGGGTTGCATCCAAGAGTGAATTAACCCTTGAGCAAATAGTATTGTGGGCTAATTTGGAGCTAGTGGTAATTGGCTCAAAATCGCCCCTTCAAATGCAGAGGCTGTGTGAGCATCTGCTGCTGTGATGAGATCTTCCCAGTCTAAGGGCTGTTCTTACTGTGTTTTTCATGCACATGGGGAGAAGCCTGACCATCCATTGAAGCACATGAAGAAACATGATGACTTCCCCAAACATAAGCAAAACAGCTTGTTTGAATGTAGAAATGGAACTTACTCTTTTACAGTTTGTTTGGACTCAGCCATTTGTGTATGCTTTTATTTGGTTTTCTTGGAGGGAACAGATGTTTACTAATAACCTCTTTTCTACCTCGGAGCACTGCACATATTGTTCATCATAAAATAATTTGGCCAAGCAAGGCCCCTGCGTGTTCCCTGCTGATGCTCGTCAGTGCTTGCTTTGACTGGGCTTGCACGGTCACTGCAGCTCACTGTGGCTTATTTAAACCAAAGTGAATTACAGTGCACGGCAACAGCCATTTCGAGTATTTATCTTCTGACTGGTGCAGGAGGTTGCCATGGCTTGCCTTATCATCAAAACCCAGGCAGCAAGGGTTGTTGGAGGCTTAAGCAACCCTCAAATAACCCATGCTCTGTTACCATCAATATTTTCTTACATTGTCACTCTTGCCTATAATTGTATGTGGGAAAAAGAAAGGAATTGGCTATGTACCCCTCACAAAGTTATATGACAGAGTTGAAAAGATTACTCTTCTTGCTAATGTCCCAATTCTTAATTGAATCCCAGTGCTCCCAAATTGGTTATTTATTTGCTTCTTTCTTTATACCTTGCCTCCCCGTTACAGTGACTGTCTGTAGCTGGGTACCCTCCAGATGTGCGAGGCCACTGCTTCATCATTGGCTATGCTACTAAGGCTGGTAGGGGTTGTAGGCACCACAAGTCCATCTGTCCACCATCTGTACAGCCACAAGTCATCCAACCCCACATTACATTTTATTGAGTATGCGATAGAAGTGTAAGACACCTACATGGTTGGCCAGCGGAATACAAATCCAAACTAGGCCTGAGTGAACAGATAGGAGAGGTGAGATAGGCAGTTGAGAGAGCAGTCGGGGACTACCTTTTTCAATGTGGCTAAAATGAAATGGGAGAAAAAAACAATCACATTTTTCTTTTCCAGGAAGAAGAGATGCCAGATGTAGAAATTGACATTGACGATCTTCTTGATGCTGCTAATGAAGAGGAGAGAGCCCTCAAATTACAAGTTAGTTTGATTTTAAGAAATTTGGGAGAATGGTTAGGGTCCTGGGGTAAGCTAATTTGTCAGGCTAGTAAGTTTAGAACAATTTTTAATCAAGGAGGTTGCAGAAACCAGCAAATCAATGCTACCACAGTGCAGAATAATTAACCCCCGCCTCCAAGTCTGTTACAACACAGAGTGATGCAGTCATATATTAAAGACTTCAGTTTGGATTGGTGACAAAAGAATTAGCATCCCTGCTTTGCCAAAATTGTCCAAGGGCTTGCCAGAATGGCTTGTTCAGAATGTGTCAGAATCCGTTTACCTGTTTCCTTCTGTTGGGGCAAGCAGGAAGCCCTAACGAAGGAATTGCTCCATAACCTCTCCTCACTCATACCTTAGTTATGCCTCTGAACCATTTTTATATATGTATTTATTCAATAGCTGAAATTCTCTAGGCAGTTTACAAGCCAAAGCTTAAAACTATAAAATCCAACAACAGAGTAAAACACAAGATCCAAACCTTAAGTTTAATGCAAAATAATAGCAAAGTAGTAAAAGCCAGCAGCATTGCAAAGATCTAAAAATGCAACAGTATAGTTTTTAAAACCGAAGTGTAAAAAAAAGTCTGGGAATATGAAAATAAATTCACAATATAGACACCAGGTGAGCCTCTGTGAGGAAGGCATTCCCCAGTCTGGGTGCCACGACTAAGGCCCACTTGCTTCACCTCAGCTGATGCAGCACCTGGAGATGGTCCTCTAGGGATGATGCTAGAGTCTGGGCAACTACATGTGAAAGACAGTGACCCTTTGGGTGACCTGGCAGCCAGTGCTGATCATGTGGCACAAGTGAAGATTATCCCCAAAATACGATTAAGGTAGTGTATATTTGAATAGTGACTGTAGTTTACAACTATGGGAGGAGCAAGCTGGTTTCATATTTTCCCTTAAGGCATGGGGCAGGGGAATAGAAAAGACACTTAGGAAGGAAGCTGTGTTTATAAACAATTTGTGCTCTTTTCATCTTCTAGGAAGCGCTTGTAGATTGCTACAAACCAACAGAGGTAAGCAAATACACTATTTTAATTTTAAAAGCATGCTCTATTGTAGAGTGTACAAAGCAGCTTTATTTACTCAACTGTATTAGCGGAATTAAAATATCCGGATAATCAGAAATTTAGATGTACATGGATTAACATATTTGAATGTTGTTTTTGTCATGGCACAATTTGAATTCTAAGTCACGTTAGCTTAACAACTATTATTTAGGTGCAGAGCATGTCATCTGCATCTGTTTTGCACTCAGGGCACTGCATTCTTAACTTTTTGGGTTAAGCTTTTCATCATGCTGGAGAATAAAAGTAAATATTTGTACATTAATAGAAATGCAGTTTAGTGGGAGAACATGAGTGGGAACAATATGAACCATTATGCTGGTAAGCAACTATTTTAAATATTACAAATGAACAAAGCAGTGTCTTGGGGGTCAGAAGATTCTTTGGAGTCCCAGATTCAAAGTTGGAGACAGAGCTTTGATTCCCAGTCTCAGAGCTACCCGCCCCCTGCAGTCAGCATGGAAGAACCGGGAGGAGGCGGTCAAGAAGACAATAAAGGGGGTATTCTGGGGTGCAGAGAAGGCTGCACAGTTTACCCCACAACATATCTTGTTTTCTTCTGCAACCTCCTTCCTTCTCCTTCTAAAGTGCTCCAAATAGATGGTTAAAATCATTATTTAGCACAAATGCACAGCAGGAGGAGTGAGGAGGGGGAGATTGCTTCTGCTGCTCCTCCCACTTAGCCTGGAATGCCCATAATCCTTGGAGTTTGGTGGCTTATGTGCCTCTTGATTGGATTGATCCATTGCTTAGATAAACTGACAATAGTAATGTTAAGCAGAGTCTGATATGATGCTCGTAGATTACAAGAGAGCTTGTGTAGTCTTTCAGACTTGCCTCTGTCTGTCTTTGATATTGCAGTCTATCTGTTAGAGTATGGGGGTTCATAGTGAAAACAGTGGAATTCTTGGTGGTGTGGCAGATTTCAGCAGTAAGTGGAAATAGTGTTTAGAATTATTGTCTTTTTAGAATATTGGTGAAATGAAATCTAAAAAGGTGTGCCAGGTTGTTAGACAGTAGATCTGTGATTGCACTGTGTTTGTACTTTAAGTACCCATCTAACAGTGCCTTGCCTTTAAAAACATATGCAGCCATGTTTAAATCACCTGATGTTTTCCTCTTGGCACAATGTCTTGTCTCTGCTTGCGATCTGTTGTCAGACGGAGGCAAATACAGCAGAACACTAACTTACAGTCAAAGCAGGCAAAGGTAGCTGGGGAAATTCCACCTCTGGGTGATGATTTGCAGTTCCATCTATTCCAACACTCTGCAAACACATGTGTGCAAAAAATATTTATGACAATGTCTTGTGCTTCTGCAGTAAAATATGCTCAGGATTTTATAGATAATAATTTTGCCTGGCTTGGCCTTGGCATAATAGAAAAGCATTCCTTTATCAAGTTGTGATTTATTTGTAAATATTCCTATCTGGTCTTCCTGGGCTGATGGCAAAGCAAAGCTCTTTCCATGAAGAATTATCTCCCATCTTACCTTTTGCTGGTCGTGAAGTAAACCTGACACTGAATGGAGCTGGTGCATCCTGCTGCTATGGTATTAATTTGCCAGACCAGCTGTGGGATGACCTGGTGCAGGTTCACTTATCACAAGTGTTGCAGGAAACCCTGCTGCAAGCACACTCCTGTGTGGACATCACCGATGAGAATATGTCCATCCTTTAAGTAGTTGCCATCTGATCATGAAGTTCATTGGATGATTTTGGGCCACAATATAAATACATATCAACATAGCTGTTCAAGTAATTTGATTAGGTTAGGGTTTCCAGCAATAATTCGTACAGTGATTGTGTGTGCATATGTGTGTGCGTATGTAATGTCAGCTTCCAGCATCTGGACCCTACGTTATGTGCTTGCTGCAGGCAACAGTGGTGGGAGGCTGGTAGCCTTCCCACAAAAATCATGCAGAGTTAATGCTGTGTAGTAGTTAGCAAGGGTATCATTCCTGTGTATTAGCCAGTCCTTCATAAGAAGTTTTACAATCAGTCCTTCATAAGAGTTGGAAAGATGGCATAATTTTATAATGTATTTTTCTTTTAAGACAACTCTAAATCAAGCATCCTGAAATTCTATTATCTTACTTATAATGAGGCCATTCGCATTGTGTCACGTGGGGAGAACTGTAGCTCATGCTCAAGCACATGTATTGTTTACACAAGGTTCCGGGTTCAATCCGGAATGGCCTTGAAACAAAAGGCCTTCCTGAAACTCTGGGAAGCTTGACAGTCCATGTAGACAATAATGATGTGAGCCACCCCGAGGCTTCGGCGAATGGGGCGGCATAAAAATGTTTTAATAAATAATAAATAATAAATAAAATACTGGGCTGGATGGACCAATGGTGTGAATTTGATATGAGGCATCGATACAAGACAGCTTCTCACTTGAACATGTATTTGGCACCTGCACATAAAGTTAGGCAACACATTTGGATGTCTTCCAAGTATTTTCCAGTACACTGCCCCATTGACATTGGCTCCATCAGCTTCCACTGGCTCTCGGGCTGTGTTCTGCTTCCATGGCATAAAGATCTCACAGGGAGATCATTTTTTTCGTGCATGTGCATATATGTTTCCTCTTGTTCGTAAGAAATGAATGCCACAATGTGTTTGGCTGCCATACCTCAAAAGCAAGTTTGGCTGGAGGATGCCAACAGGTAAAAATACTGTTTGGGCATATGGCAGCAACCTGGCAGCAAACAACTTCTTTGCAAGAGAATGTCCATGCATTTGTGCCTATAATAAATGGCAACAACGAAGAATCTCCAAATGGGTGTGTGTACATGTGAATGAGAGAGAGGGAGAGCATGTTGGGGGTGGAATGGGATGACTCAGAGTGAAACAACCTGTAAATGACTGGAGTGTGGCTCTACATTTTACACACAACTGTACCTGCCACTTGGCACTTACTTAGAGCTACTGTTACATATGCAGCTGAGTGTTTAAAATAACTTCGAATGTCCATCCTAGTTGCAGAATCCCTGTGGAAATTCCTGGGATGCATTGAAACTTAAGAAATGTATTGCCTAGAAGGAGAAGCCCCCTGGCTTTACAAGTCTCTAGGACATATTTGGGTATTGTAAATGACTGATGCCTTTGTACTGTTAATAAGCACTTTGTTCTTTTTCCAGCTAGCAGCTAGATATAGAAGTCTTTGAAACTTCACAGCGGAACAGATAGTGTTTAATGATGGTGCCATTAATGTTTGAGCAGGAAATGTATGTAGCAGTCTTTGATTTATTCAGATGGAGCTCAGAATGGGGTCATGAGCTTTTCTTCTAGAAGCCAGTCCATATGTTTTAAAATGTATCTGTGCGGCATGAATAACTTGAATTGGCTGCAATCTTGGTGAAATATTTTTTTAAACAGATGCTTGCCCAAATCCATGAGAAAATGTGATTGCCTTTCTAGAATCAGGATTTTACCTTGGTTTGCAGAAGCTTTTGCCTGGCTTACTCAAACTGGGTGATATTCTTTTTGATTCTTCAGAAAGTGTTGAGGAGGCAAAACTTTCCACTCTTTTAGCTGACTTCAGAGTCTGTGTGTGAGTTTTTGGTACAGACAAATATATTTGGGTGTTGAAAAGAATTCCATTTCCTTGTCCTTAGCCAGAGGGCCATAAACACACAATTCCTGTTTACGCTAACCTGAGTGTGGGCAACCTGAGGCTTTCTAGATGTTTTTGCCTGGAATTTCCATCATCACTTGCCTATGGTGGCTGGGACCAATTGCAGGCCAAAACAGCCAGATTGCTACAAGTTGCCTGCCTTGCCATAGGTGAAAAAGTTTGGTACTAGAAGGCATTCTGCAGGTATTTCCCCTAGAGGGAACCAAGACAAAGGAACCACATGGTGCGTTTCCTTCCTTTTGGAAGTGAATGGGGGCTTTTCTTTCCTGCTGAAAGTATTTCAAGGGGAAGCTTGACACTTGAAAGTTCAGCAATAGGACAAGATCAGTTCCTTCTGCTACCAACATGATTAGGAGAGGACATTGGCATGACCTATAGTATGGTAGAATCTACCCTAACGTAAACCAAGGGAATTGCAGTGGGAGTGGTGGCAGCTAGTGGTTTTTTATGGGTACCTCCTTTCATAGAATCTTGGCAGTTTCATCCAGTAGGACTGCTGGGTTTTGGAGAGAGTATTTTGATTGAATGTGTGTTCATTAATGGAAGCTCTGCTTGAATCCTGCTTTGAAGATGGTTGAATAGCTATTACCTGACATGTGAGAACGAATTTTGAAGGCTGCAGTCAGGCCTGTGTTTTCTCAGTCATGACCAGTTTTTCTCAGTCATATCAGTCATTACACAATTTTATCTCTAAATGTTTCTTTTTGTAGGATTTTATCAAAGAACTGCTAACTCGGATAAGAGGGATGCGGAAGCTGAGCCCTCCTCAGAAGAAGACTATATAACTGAAAACCGAGTCCTCTTGAGAGATGTGGCCACTATACTGGGACTTTTGAATAGAACAACTTCTAGTTTGGTCTTTATCAGCAATTTATTCTTACTTTGAGGTTGAGTTCTGACATTTTAATGAATTTGACCATTTCTGTTTTTAAGGCTTTTTTAAGTGTCATTTTTTTATTTTTTTATCATGGAGATCCATATTATGGATGCTGCTTTTACTACCTGAGAATGATCAAATTTTGTGGGAAACACCACCCTGAGGAAGACTGTTGCTGTCCCAAGCAGTCATCCTACTTGAAGAATTCTGTATAGAACTACTTGCAGGTGCTGTTCCTTCTCAACCAGTGGGGTTGTTCATTAAGTTATACATCAGACTTCTGGATGTAAGGTTCTTGTGCTTATGTTACATATATTATCAAGTGAGTTACTATTGCTTCACAGGGGTGGAAGGAAAACGTGATCTAGGTGACTGTAAAAATGGATGCTGTAGCAGACATTGTGTGGAGGGGGAGGGGGGATGCAATTTGTTAAAAAGTGAATGCTGCCACTATTTCTAAATCCATTGAAAGTATTGGGGGGATACCTTCATTCACAAAACAACATATGAGCAAGTTCGGGAATTTTAAGGGCTTGATTTTGTAGGTGTTGAGCTTATTTTATTGACTTTGATGCTTAGCCAGATCATCTCCTCTTCCCCTCATGGTCTACTAAAATAGTATTACTCTACTGCCAATGGGTTGCATATAACACTGAGAGAAGGGTCAATGCCATCTAAGAGAGGCTGCAAGCAAGGGAGATGCAAGAGAGACCAATCAGTGTAGTTTTGGCCCAGTTGTTCCTGTTCTTGTGACAACCAGAGTATCAGGCCATTCTTTCAATTGGGCATCAGCTCTGGCATGATGGGTAGGGGAGGCTGGTTTATAGTCGTGCAAGCAGGATCCCTGACACTTCAAGAAACCATTCATTGCTAATATGTTTCACAAGCTACCATCTGCTGGTAGATGCTAGTCTGGCATTTTATATCAAAGGTGCTCTGAACATAATTTTATTTTTTAAAAGAATAAATACATGTTTGTGAACTTTATGTATACTGGCAAGCTTTTTTAAATGTATTTAATTTTGTAATGTTTTATCAATGACTTTATTTACTAGATATTTACTCAAATAAATGCAACAAATTGGGGGTTTGTTTTATGTGTACTTTAACTATTGTAGAAAACTGGAAGTTTAAGATGACTTAACATTGCCAACTTATTTTGTGTATATGAATTATCAACTACCTGAAAGTTGTGTCAGTGTGCAGTTTCTTCATGCCAATGAAAGACTTTCAGCAAACTTATTTATGGTGAATGATTTCAATGTAAATGTTCCCAGGAAGATGCGTAAGATCAGAGAACGCTTCTTGAGAGAGGACTGTTAGCGCTGCTAGCCAGAAAGCATTGTGTAGCTATTCTGTCTTTGTCTCCTTAACAGACTTCTTTTCTTGTAACAAATGAGATAGAGAAGCAGTGGCAACATACAGGAGCCCTACAAATGAAAGAAAACATCTGGATCCCCATAACATTCAGAAAATGAGGGGCTTGTTGAAGCCTAGTATGGATGCACCCTGACCACATTTGAACATTTAGTGTGGCATCTGTCTTTAAATATAATTTTCAGGCTAACTGGCTGGCAGAATATCCTGCAAGGCAAGATACTGTTACAGTTTGTATAACATTTGTGCATACAGTTTGTATAATAACTGTCCTTAAAGGAGAATAAAAATACATGAAACCCTTTTCCTAATGGGTGTCTCCTCATACCCCATATGTTCCTTGGTAGCCTTACCCAAAGGGAGCACTTCCATTTCAACACCTACTCAGCATCTGAATTTGAGAATTTCACTAAAAGACCATTGAAACTCGACCATTAATCTGGAGAAAATTTCTAGCATGGCATTCCCATGACCCAAAGCAGGTTTGAACAACATGCAGCCCAGCAAATTTTGCGGTGACATCAGAAAAGCCACCCTTTTTTAAATGGATCAAAGTGAGTATGTTCTTTCCTCCTGTTTCAGAGCAATTCAAAAACTTTCTCAGGGCAAAAGGAATGAATGGAAACTGGGAAAGCTGGCCTTTTGTTGCCATGGAGAGGGGCAGCTGATCAACGAGTCTTCAGCTAGCTTGCCTGGACTCTAAAGACTTTGGGTCTTTTACAAAATGGAAGCCGGACTGTCAGTCACCTCACTAAGTCAAAATCACCGCACAAACGTGTGGCAGACTTCCGAATAGCTCAATAACTAGGAAGTACTTGTTGCTTGTTAAGAATTGGCAGTGAAAGAACACAAACAGCAATACTGAACAGAACTTTACTGAAAAGTCATCATGTTAATCCTACTGCTTTTCTGCAAGGTAACTCAGTGCTGCCTTACACCCTGAGTTCCCCAGCACAAGAGTTGCTTCACATGGCATCCTCTTTGCAGCAAAGATTCCCTCCCCCCGCAGCCCATTACAAACTTGGAAGCTCTGGGCTAAAAAAGAATATCTGTTTTCTTTGCCTTTTCTCTCATGTGTGAGCATCGAACAGTGTTATGGCTTGTACTCCTATGGATTTCACATGCTGGAAATTCCTTTGTCCCTTTACAATGTATCTCAGAGCGGAACTGAATTTTAAATCATTTCTTGGCCGGTTTTACTTCTGGAGTCAAAGGGGCTGGATTCTTCCTTTGGGCAACACTGTAACTTCAGTGATCCAAGAGAATTACTTCTGATGTATTGTAAGATGAGAGTGGGACCCATTGAGCTGATCTCTCATTGTGATTCGCCTCTTGCATGCTGTGTGGGTGTCCTCTAGCAGTGGAGTGACATTTCAATAGCACACTGTTAACTAAAACAGCAAGGAACCACATTTGAGGCTTAGGCTTTGTAGGGTGGGAAAACTGGCATGGGCAGAGTCATGTTTTTCCACAGTGTAATTTCATTTGCTTTCAGAAAATAGGGGTGCCATTAAGTCTCTCCTTGGCTAGTAATGAATGTGGCTTGACACCCATTTCTGGTGTTTCCTTTTAAAGCAGAGCCAGTGCAAGGCTTTTGGAGACATCTCTATAGAACTCCGCATGCTGAATGGCAGGATCGCTGCCAGATTGGTGGGCTTCATGGTGCGACCAAAGTGACTGTAGCTTTCAAGCATTTCCATCAGTATCATCTTATGCCAGCATCCTCCACTCAGTTTCCCTCCAGATGTTTTAGAGTGCAACTTCCATCATTCCCAACCACCGTGGGAATTTGCATTTCAACATCTGGTTTAGGGAAGGTTGTTTTTTGTATTAATATTTATAGAGTCCAGATTTCTTCCTGGCCAGTCCTAAAGATTAGATGTTGACCACCTCCTGAGTAGAGAAATTGAGCCATGGGTGAAAACAAAAACCCAACAGGCCAACAATCAGAAGCATCCTACCTCAGTTATCTGAGTTAATTCTTAGCCTCACAAAGCTTAGAAGGAGACCTCGAACTTACCGAATGCTTACCTGACTACCAAGTTGGCAGCATTTATAGTGAGAACATTATGATTTTCAAAGCCAGTGCCCATTAAACTAAGAAACCTGTATTTCCCAGGATGGGACAAGGTACTTGGAAGCTCCAGGATGGGTGAAGTCCTTGCATCCCAACAGCAAAATCTCTGCATTGTGGTGGCCAAAACTGGCGTTATATCCATGAAAGTTGCAGAGAAGCAGGACAGATGTTGGACCTCCTGTCTCTTCAATTCCCTGCCTGGACCTGGCTGGTTGTGGAAGTGGCAGGAGTTAGGGAGCTCATAAATTATTTGGATTAGTGCTTTAATCCACAAATTAGCTTATGTATGCAGCATTGAACTGAACAAGAGCAGCAGTGTGAAAGGTTCCTATCCCTTTGTCCGGCAGAGGTACTAGTAGGCTGGGCTGGGGAATGCATCTTGGAAATGAAGCTGATTCCCGATTATGGCATGTTCTAGCCTTGCCACACCTTTGTGGGAATCCATATGATGAGCATCTTCAGCAAAATGTCCAACTCCTTTCTTCTTATGCAGCCTCAATGTCTCAGGCATTCCCTCCTTGGTGCACAGATTGGGGCTGTGCACAGATGGCTGCTCTGGGGAGGAGAAAAGCCATTTCTCCAGCAGTTTGTTTGGCTACATCTACAAAAATCCTGAATTTATTCTGGGCCCTATTTATCTAAAAGTTTGAACATGCATCAGAATTTGGAATGAATTAATTACAATCGTACCCCTTCCACTTTGTGCAAAGATTGTGAAAACTCTTTAAACATCAAAACCCCATGACAAGGTAATGCTCCATGGAGCCTAGCTGCGTTTTCCTGCCATCGTATATGTGTATTAAGCACTAAGCATGAGACATCTTTGAGTAATAAGTATGAATTTCAGCAAGGATTTTATAAATCACTTTTTGGCATAGCAAATGTTAAATCACATTAAAGGAAGGTAATATAAATAAATAAACTTACTGTTTTCAGAAGGGAAAGCAGAAGAATCAATAAAGCTTTTTCTTGCTGGGATCACACTGATCATTGGACATGGGATACAGTTTAAACAACTGCTTCTAGTACTTGCAGGCTGTTGAAACGGCTAAGAATACGATTTATTTGGTTTCTTATCACTTCCTGCTTATAACTATGCTATAGAAGTTTGGTTTGAAAGCCAATAGAAAGCTCTATAAACTTGTAAGATTCATGCCTTAAAATTACAAAGGACATCCTTTGGTTTCCATATCAACAGTTTACAGGACTGGTGAATGCTTACAATGCTAAACCCCTTAAGATGTCAAACTTTTTTCTATGGCGTGTCCTTTCTTTTCCCTCAGCTGTGCCTTTGGCATAGGCTTGAATTAGTTCATTCTATTGACTTGCATCTAGGCAGAGGGCTTAATGTTTTCTCTCCCAAAACCCTCTTTTTGGTTAGGTCTGATACTGAAACAAAAGGGCGAGCTAGGAAATTAGCTGATGGGCCTCTTGGGTTCCTGGAATCCTCAAACTTTGTAATTGTAGAAGAGTGATCTAATGACTGTAACAAAACAGAACATCAGGGATAGCTTATTTTCTGCTTCACATCTGCTTTTCAAAATTTGCAAGGAGATGTAAGCATACGTTCTTGGTCTTAATCTTTCTAAACACTTTGCTTTACTCCTTTTGTTCTTCCGTCAAGGCTGGGACCAGCAGCTGATTAAGGCAAAGGAGTGAGTTTGCTTTCCTGTGTGAATTTTTTTACCAGGATGTTAGATAATAAACCTGTTTCTGAATGCAGACTTTCAGATTCCTTTGACCTGGTCCAGGGTCAGAAATTGGCTGCTTTTAACAACC